TATTCAAGACATACTCCTAATGTGTATGCCTTGAACAGGTATCTAGGCATATGATTATGCAAATGATTCATTTAAAAATATATACACTAAACTAACATACATTATATTAAACAAATATATCATAATTTATATAAACAACACTAACATATCATAATATTCAAATAAAACAAATAAAACAAAACCAAACTAAACTAAAATATCATAATATTAAGCCAAAATAACATACATTATATAAAACTAAACTAAACTAAGCTACATTATATTAAACTAAACAAAATTAAACTACATTATACTAAAGTAATCTAACACACATCATATTAAACTAAACTAAACCAAACTAACATATCATAATATTAAACTAAACTAACATTCATTACATAAAAGTAAACTAAATTAAACTACATTTTATTAAAATACAATAAACTAAACTAACATGCATTGCATTAGTGTTTGTAATGTGACAATTAAACCAACTAATTGTACAAATCCTACACAAAAATTAAAACTAAAAAAAACATAAAAGGGTTTACTAATATACCAACACAAAAGGGGCAAAGGAACTCACTATGGGTAGATATGAACTCGGTGGTGGCTGCACGACAAACTCGGTGGAGGCGGCGCCGGTGGTGGCTGCAAAATAGGGTGTGGAGGAAATTAAGTCATTGAAAATTAAAAAAAAGGGGGGGGGGAGGAGGACTTACCACCGGAATTTTTGATTGTTTAGGTCGCGGCGACGGAGGGGAAAAGGTCAGAGGTGGCGTCAGTGGAGTTGGCGTCGGTGGTGGCTGCGAATCACTTCTAGAGTTAAAGTTTCACCGGGTTTTTGTAAAAAAATTTAAAAAATAAAAAAAATAACTAGAACAGCAACATTAACCACCGGCGACGTCAAGGGTGGCAGAAGCGTCCTCTGGTGGCAGCGATGAAGGGTGGTGGCTGCGGAATCGGCGGTGGTGAGGGTTAGAGTCCCAAAAACAAAAAAACCACTTAACAAACCAAACTCCACTTACTGAACGGCGGCCAAGGCGATGCGTGGAACCCGGTGGTGGCGTCGGATCTTCCTCTTCTTCTTTCTCTTTCTCTTTCTCCCGTTAATTTTCTCTCTCCTTTGAACTATGCTTTTGTGATTTACAATGATTGAAACCAAATTTAGCATCCTATGCTTACTTAACATGTTTCGACGGAAATTAATCCGGTCGGAATTACAACCTTCCGAGGGAAAATTCCGCCGGAAGAATTAATTTCCGACAGAATTTATTCCGACGGAATTTCCGTCGGAAAAGGAATATTCCGACGGATCCAAATTCATCAGAAATTTCGAAATTTCGGACGGAATTTTGGGTCCGTCGGAACGATTCCATCGGAAAACGGGCTATTTCTAGTAGTGTTAACGGACATTGCCAATGTAGTACTCCGTATTTTTATAATATATTTATGTATATAAATTATTTATTTTATTTATTTTTATAAATTAAAATGGTTCATTTCTTTTTAAAAGATTAATTATTTAAATATTATGTAAGTGTGTATAAAATAATATGAGTCGTTAATTGAGGCAATAAAAGTATTTTGAATTGGGTCATCTTTATTTAAATGGTTGGATTAACTTGTTGGGAAATTGAGGACACTTAAAAGCCTAACAAGTTGGCCCCAAAGGAAAAAGTTAAGGGGAAGTAGGATTTAGCAATGATAGTCTTGTACTCCCTCCGTCCCTTAATTAGATGTCTGCTTTCCTTTTTGGGGGGTTTCAAAATTAGATGCCTATTTCTATTTTAAGAATGTATTTTTTGACAATATTCCCTCTTTTTTATGAGTTGTCATCAATATTCTTTTATTTTGTACTTTTGACATTATTAATTTTGTACTTTTGACATTATTTTCCAACACTTTCTCTCTCTATCTCTTCAATAATTACCAACTAATTTTCTCTCTCTCTCTCTCTCTAACCCCACATGTACTTTGTACTTTCCAATTATGGGTTTTGAGGAATCTCTAAATTCCTTAATTCCCGTGAAATTTTAGAAGTAGACATCTAATTAAGGGACGGAGGGAGTAATTATGAGTTTTTGTTTTAAAAGGGGAGTATAAATACTTTAAAACCTCAAGGTTTTTCACTCTAAAATCATAATTATCAGATTTCACAAAAACTCCAAAAGTTTTCTCTTTATTTTCTCTCTCCTTTTTCCTCTTTTTTTTCTCTCTCTTTCCATGCCTCTCTTTCTCCTCTTTTTCTCTCCCACCACCACCACCATCAACCACCGGCGACCACCAGCAGCAGCCGGCGACCACCAGTCAGCCACCGATTTCTCTCTCCTCCTTCCCCCTTTTCGGTTTGGTACAAAAGGAAAAAAAAAACTCTTTTCTCTTCCTAATTTAATTCTAATGTTTTTTTAATTTAAAGCATGGTTTTTATTATGTTTTGGTATTGATTATGGGTTTTTGATGTTGTTAAATTATTCCTATAATTTTCAAATTATAATTCAATCAAAAACCCTAATTTATAAACCCTAGAATTTGGGAATTTAATGTATAGGGTTAGGGTTTGATCCTAGGTTGTTATTATTTAATGAATGATTTAAACATATTTTTAATGATTTTAAAGCCCTCAAATTAATGCTATAATTTAATTATACACACTACTTTTTAATTATTGTGTTAGGGTTTGATTACCCATAAAAAGGGAAAAAAGTTTTAATGATTTAAATATGATTTCCTAGTCTATTAGTGATGTTTTATATTGAATAAGTACGATGGAATTTCATTTAAGTCATAAAAACTAAGTCTTTTTGAAAGGATTTAAAGTACCCACTTAAAGAAAAGGTTTTATGGCTTTTTTGTCATTAAATTGGGTTGATTAGTAAGGTTTAAAGTGTATTATAGTTGCTGAAATTTTGTGAGAATAGTGGATTAATTATAGTTATGTATTCTTATTTGTAGGAAGCTTTGAGCTAGGTGATTTCTAGCGAGTGTAGCCGAGTTTAGGCACTATTCAAGATACGTATGTGCACAAGAATATTTGTGTATGCGTAGTATCATGCTAGGATTGTAAAGTATGATTTAAGTGATGAATTAGTAGCATGTTTAGTTGATTATATGCTTGGAATTGATGTTGGTTGAGCATGAATTATTATGCAAGCATGTGAATATGTTATTTGAGGCATGATACAAGTAGAATATGTGTGAATCATAGAAGTATGTTGTTTTTTCAAGTATCAAGAAGACATGCATTTAATAAGCAAGACTTATGTATGTTTAAAAGAGCTAAAGTTAGAATTATTGAGCATGATTCATAAATTTATTTCTCACCAATTTATTATTGGTGTTGAATCAAGAAGTTAGTTCATTTATTTATTCGCTCATGTAAGTTGAGTTCGAGTCAAGAAAGTTTATTAGTGCATCTTATGCACCAAGGTAGTAATCGTGCAATTTTATGTACAAAACTAGGCAAGGAACCTTAATAAAAATAAATAGTATGTGCTCACTAATTATTTTAAGAATGAATTGGAAGTATGTGTTGAATGTTGTTGTGTTTATTCTTGATTGATTGGTTAGAGTCATCACTAGTTAAATTGGTAAATCACGTAATGTGTAAGAGAATATGCACCAAAACTCTTGGAACGTATATACCTTGAGTATGAACATATGGGGGGAGTTATGAGGTTTTATATTTAACCATAACTTCTACAGGGGTACAAGACGCTGTCACTACTACAAAAAATGGATAAGAAACCATACTAAATAAGCCTAAGAGACCAATAATTATATGGTTTTATATTTCAATGATATCTTAGCATACAAGACCATGTTTTTAGTTTGGTTAGTTAGATTTAACAAAGAAACCATACTAGAAATATGTATGCATAGTTTCTTAGATACCTTTTAAATAATAAAAAAAATAAAAAATAATAAGAAGGCAAAGAGACCATATATGTAGGAAATGTGGTATCTTTGTACAATTTTTAAAAAAAATAAACTATAGCAATTTCCCTGTAAAGGAGTAACTTCTTTCAATTGCCCCACGCGCCACCACCATTAAATAGGAAAATAATTATTGACCGTTATCTACATTATATGCATTGTAGATTCATCCAAAATAAAAGAAGCATATGAAATCATATAATCTTTTATGTTTAAAAGTCAAACATTACACCAATTAGTCAATTTACTAAAACTCTAATTACAAATCAGAATAACTAAACTGTACTAATATATTTTCCCTAAAACCACCATAGAACTCTTGTCTTCTTGTTGTTTCTTGTTGCTTTTTCCAGAACCTGGCCTGTTCATTCATAATCACCAATATATAATTAGTGTAAAACTTAATAGTACGAAATCACCATATATCATTGTATTTAATTCATTACTAATAGTTAGATACAGTGGCGGACGCAGGAATTTCCGACTGGTGAGTCACAATCGATAACCAAATATGTAAAAAAATTTTTTTACCAAAATTCCTAAGAAAAATTATTTACAAAGATCATCCAAATAGAAAATTGACAAGATTACAATACTAACTTATAATTAACAAGCTTAAAATTGACCTAAAATAATAATCACAATAATTAACAAACTAATTTATTTATTTAATTTTTTTTTTAAGAAACTTAATAATTTTTTTGGGCCCTGGTGAGTCATTTGACCCACCAGGCACAAAGGCAGGTCCGCTGCTGGTTAGATATCGAATTAAACTCCGTTCAATCAACATACATGTTATAGAAACTATAAATCCAGTAACATCAAACCAAATTTTCTTATTTTATATTGGAATTATTGAATCGCATATTAGAAATTATCAGATTACAAAATGGAACCAAATTTCTAACTGTACTATATTATCAAATCAATGCAATGAAGATTTTATAGTGATAGCTTAACTTAATTTACTCCCTCGAAAGAAAGGGCAAACTCTCTCGAGAGAGAAAGAGTGAACTCTATCTCTAGGATAAAACCCTACCGAACTTCCGGTTAATCTCTGCGTCGAAGCCTGGTTATCATCATCGATGGCAGAGGAAATCACCAATCTCTATACTCAATTGGATATCCGTGACGATGAAAAGAAGCCTATTGACCTAGGAACCCTTCCTGTTGGCGAAGAGGAAAATAACCTATCGCTAATGCTGGTTGGAAAATTGCTTACACAGAGATCTTACAACATCGAGGTGTTCAAAAAGACTATGACTAGTATTTGGGCTCCTGTAACACCCTAATAATTCTCTCTTTAGAACCTGTATTAACCTGTAATAACTTGTATTCACCTGTAAATACTTTTAATAACATGTGAGAGAATTACTGGCGTGCTACCGCCACGTGTTCAAACGTTAAGGCTGGTTTTAGAAATCAACTGCGGAAAACTAACTTAGTTTTAAAAAGAATATAAGTTTCAAAACTAAAAGTCAAAACTCAAAGTCTTACAAGTTGGAACCATAACGACCCTTATTCAAAATCTAGTAAAATAGGAAGTAAATGGAATTAGAACCAAAATAAAATTCAATCTATGATATAAAATAAACTAAGTGATTAGCCAACGCTCCACTCAAATCCCATCACCCTGATTCAATCAGTTTATGCAAAAACCTGTGGTTAATCTGCTCCCCAATTTTACAAGTGTAAGAATTGGATCATTACAGGGTCATTGAAGGCGAAGGCCATGACCAAGAGAAACACACAAAAGCACGCAATCAACAACGCTGAGTACATACAAGCTACGAAATATAATAAAGAGTCTTAGCATGATACTATCAAGCATTCCATACACTCACAATATAATCATTGACTCGAACACATGACTCAATTGTTACTTATTACAAAGTTTCTCTAAATAGTATTGATCACTTCATTAATTTAAATGGATTAAGCAATAGACCGGGTTGTCCCCCTGTGCACCATTCCGGAACATTAAATAAGAAAACCCTATGCCTCCTTTCGGAAGACATTAATAAACATCCAATGGCAGACGGGCACGACTCCGTGGCCATAGCTAGTATGAGATCTCATCTAACTCATTATAATTTTAAAAGAATTTAAAATAAGAGACTCGTAGATCAGACGGCCTCTGAAAAGTACACGGCTAATACCCCATGAACCCCAACCCTTGTTTGTCATTACTCTAGATGTGCACAAATCTAGAGTTTTATTGCTCATCCTTCTTGCACTTTACGTGATTTACCAGTTTAAATTTGGTGATGACTCATATGCAAGCAACACAACCAATCATACATCAATCATTCAAGTTTCCAATTCAATTCTTAATTTATCAGTGACAAACAACATTTATTATTGAAACCTTTAACTACCTCGGTGTATAAACACCTTAAATGCATAAGGCACCTCAAATTCTCAACTTTGTCTTATAAGACTTTAATTCTACCTTTACTCATTCCATTTCAATACAGATGAATAAGTAATTAAAATGATTCATTCCATATATATATATACTTGTAGCTTGCTTCTAAGCTCTCTTTGCAAAATATTTCATAAATAATGCTCAATAGGAAACATCAATGCAATTTCTCATACATGAATTAAAGCAATCATCACATTTATCAACAATCAACTTATTACCAAACAATTTCAACCAATCCACAAGTCTCCTAACATAAGTCCTTAAACATGCTTCTAAAGTCAAGGTTCTTTCTATACTTGTACGTACCTTGAGTACGCAAGTTGATTGGCCACTTTAAGGCTAGAAGTCACCCTCTACGAAGTCCTCTCCTAGACAGAACAACAATAGCTCAATTAATACCCAAGCAACATATATTACAGCAATACTAAACTATTTTAAAATCCTTTAAATCATTGAAATAATGCCCTTAAGTTATTCGCAATAGCCAAAGTTAACAATTTAGTACTTGAACTATGAGTTTATATGCTAAAAATCATAAAAGTATAGCTTACAGCATAAAATTTCAGCACTTTGAAGTAAAATTATAAATCTGAAAATTTAGTTTAAAATTATAAAACAACCGCATAAACGTTTTCATTTGAAATAATCGTTATATAGCACGTTAGTATGTTGAGAACTTGAAAATCCATCATAAAACCATGATTTAAAGCTATTTAAACTAAGATTAAAATCAGAAAATTTAATTTAATAGTAAAGTGTATGAATACAACAATCTAAACTTGAAATATATAATTATAATTTAATTAGTTTCATAAAATTCAATTAAACCTTCGATAAAAATCGAAAACTGCACGAAAACCATACTTAGAAGCTGAATTTGGCCACGAGAGGGTGGTGCTCACTACTATAGGTAGTGAGTTTTGATTAGAGCATCGTTTACACACGAAAAACACTATTTTTTTTGCGAAAATCAGACGAGTTATAGTCAAAACGCGATTAAAACGTGATTAAGAAAATTTTCGAACGGAAATTCAGAAATTAGTTACGAAAAATTAAGAACTTGCTATCGAATTAAACATCATCATAGTCATAGCAAAATCACAACAAAATCATGCTCAAATTAAACAACTTTAGCAACACGTTTTTAAGCCCTAAAACCATGAAAATCAAGTTTTAAACCCTAATTTCACAAATTATGAAATCTGAATATTAATTATATGCTTAACATATCATAAACTCGATAAATTTGCAATCTTTCACAACTCAAAAACATAATCAAAATATAATAATTGTTAATCAACGAAAAATTCATGTAAAGATTAAAGCTTTGAAGAATTTAAACAAGAAAAGAGAGGAAGATAGAAGAGAAGGGGGAAATGGAGGAAACCGGTGGTGGGTTACTGGTGAGGCAGCAGCAGCGCAACAGAGGAAGCAACAAATTTTTTTTTTTACTTTTTTTTTTTTTTTTTTTTGTTTGTGAGTCGTGAAAGGAGAAGAAGGGAGCAAGGGAAAGGGAAAGGGAGTAATAAGGGGAAGCAGTAGAAGGCAATATACGAGGGTTTTGAGAAGGGGAAATAAGGAGCAAGTTTCCTTAATTATAAATGTGAATGAGGAGAAATAAGGGGTAAGTTTACTTAATTGAAATAGAAGTATGGGTTTAAAAAAATTCTTGTTTTTTTTTTGTGAAATCTTCCCAAAAATATTTTTGCATAAATATAAAATTATTAAAAATATTCGTATACATAAAAATATATTATTATTATTTACTAAGAAAAATATGGGGGATTACAGCTCCGATTCATGGCCTTGCTATTAGGGTTCTTAGCCCTAATCTCTATGCTTTTCAATTCTTCCATTGGAAAGATTATGAAAAGGTCTTGAAAGGACGACCATTGTGTTTCGATAATATGCTTGTCCTCTTGAAAGGGATTGATGGAGACGAGCAACCGGAAGATGTCATTCTCAGGAATTCTCCCTTTTGGGTTCGTATCAAAAATCTTCCCTTTAATTGCCGAACTGATGCGCATGTTAGAGCTATTTTAGAGGGTATGGGAGAAATTCTTGAAATGGAAGATGATATTCTTGGTATTGGGCGTTACCGAAGAGTCAAAATAATGCTTGATACATCTAAGCCCTTGAGGCGCTTCCAGATGATCAAGGATCGTCAAGGCCGAGAATTACAGGTTAACTTGGCCTATGAAAGGCTTCCATTTTTCTTTTTTGCTTGTGGCATAATGGGACATGCCGAGCGAGATTGCCATAATGTTGAGGAAGAGAAAAAACAAGAACAATTGGGCTGGGGAATGAACCTTAAAGCTACTCTTAGAAAGGGCTTGCTGAAGGAATTAGAAGAGTTGGAGAACCTTAAGGCGAACATGAAGTTATCTTTCACACCTAAACCCCATCAGGAAGAGAGGGGAGAGAGAAGGAATAGCAATGCAAGTGATCATCTGGGCAGTGAACAGATTACACCATCAGAAACTCGAATCATAGCCCCTCCTCCTACATCTCAGTCATCAGCCCCTATAGTGTTGGAGGAACAAGTCTATGTTTTTGGTGATCACGAAACATCTAATTCTTCACAAAATGTGGAGCAGATAAAAATTCAGTCCTCGAATTCTATACGGGCTACATCAATAGGGGGCGTACTTGGAAGAGAGTAGCTCGTGCTCAGACGAATGAGAATGATGGGACTACTACTCTTCCTATTAAACGTGGCTTGGAGGAGCTGGGTGTTGGAGAGATGGATACGACTGGTGAGAAGAAGGAAAAATAGAGTGAGGGGGGAACTATGGAAATATCTATGGCGACGGTGATTGGTTTAAGCCAATCCCGCCTCTCGCAATATAATGAGTGTACTATGTTGGAACTGCCGGGGTTTGGGCAATTCCCCTATGGTTCGACAGCTTTGTAGGTGGAGCAACAAATTTTCCCCTGATATGATTTTTGTATCAGAGACAATGATTAATAAAACAGAGGTAGAGAAAATTAAAGATCAATTAGGCTACCCAAATGCTCTTGGGGTGTCAAGTCGAAGCAAGGCAGGGGGGTTATGCTTATATTGGAAAGAGGGGGTGGACTTTAATCTGATTTCCTTTTCTCAAAATCACATATGTGGAGATATAAGGAACCCGAGTGGGGAGATTTGGAGGTTTGTGGGACTTTATGGCTGGCCACGGGAGGAAGATAAACACAAGACGTGGCTCCTAATCCGCAACTTGGTTTTTGAGGGGGACATTCCTATTCAGATCGGAGGTGACTTCAATGAAGTTTTGACGTATGATGAGATTGAGGGGGGTGTGGAAAGAGAGAGACGAGAGATTGCAAAATTCCAGGAAGCAATGGATGATTGCAATATGAGGGACTTGGGGTATGATGGTAGCTGGTACACTTGGGAGAGAGAGCTCTCGGTGGATAACAGGATCAGAGAACGACGACTAGACCGTTTCATGGCCTCTCAAGCTTGGGTGAACCTATTTAGGAGTTATAGGGTGGATCATCTGATGCGGTACCGCTCCGATCACGCCGCCATTCTACTCTCCCAGAACACGACTAAAAGCACCAAAAAGAAGAAGAAAAATTTCAGCAAGTTTGAAACTAGCTGGCTACTAGATGAAACTTGCGAGATCACTATAAGAAAGGCTTGGGAAAATCTGTGGGGGAGGTTATCCTTGATAGAATTGCAGCTGTGGCTCGAGGCCTTGGAGCGTGGAGTTGTAAAAAATTCCACAAACTTGAGAAGCAGATTGCTAAGGCAGTGGAGGCCCTCCACATGGCTCAAAAGAGGAGGGTCTCGGCTAGTAGCGTGGAGGAGTGTACAAGGCTAGAAAAAAAGCTTGATGACTTGAATGAAACGCTGGAAGCTTACTGGTACATTAGGAGCAGAGTTGTAGAGGTCAAAGATGGAGATAAAAATACTAAATACTTTCATCATAAAGCGTCTCAACGGAAGAAAAAGAACTTCATTAGGGGTATTTATGATGCTGATGGTGTATGGCAGAGGGATGAGAAAAGCATTGAAACGACGATCACCAAGCACTTCGAACATATTTTCACCTCCTCGAACTCGACAGAAGACATCATTCAAGAAGCCCTTAGTACCATGAGCCCAATGATCTCGGAAGATGCAAACAGAGAGCTCACTAAACCCTTTTCAAAAGAGGAAATCTATGGCGCCCTCCAACAAATGCAGCCTTGCAAAGCTCCAGGTCCGGACGGTATGCATGCAATTTTTTACCAGCGTTTTTGGCACATTATTGGTGATGATATTGCTTTGTTTGTGAGTAACATTTTACATGGCTCTTGTTTCCCTAGCCATGTGAATAAGACTAATATTGTGCTATTTCCAAAGGTAGATAAACCTACTACTACTGCCGAATATAGACCCATTGCTCTTTGTAATGTTCTCTATAAGCTTGTTTCAAAATCGATTGTGATGAAATTAAAAAATATTCTTCTTGAGATTGTGTCGGAAAATAATATTGCTTTTGTTCCTGGCCGGCTAATTACTGATAATGCCTTGATTGCTCTTGAATTTTTCCATACCATGAAGAAAAGGTGTAAGGGAAGAAAAGGATTCATGGCCCTGAAACTCGATATGAGTAAAGCTTATGACCGGGTTGAATGGGGTTTCCTGCGACGACCCCTTCTCACTATAGGCTTTGATGGTCGATGGGTAAACCTGGTGATGGACTGTGTATCCTCGGTTTCTTAATCTTTTGTGATTAATGGGGAGGTTTGTGGTACGGTGGCCCCCTCTAGAGGTCTCCGACAAGGAGACCCCCTATCACCGCATCTTTTTATTCTGGTAGCTGATGTCTTCTCTAACATGTTACAGAATAAAGTCCGAGAGAAGAAACTGCATGGAGCAAAAGCTAGCCGGAAAGGACCAAAGATATCTCATCTTCTCTTTGCTGATGACAGCTTACTTTTTACCAGGGCAACTCGTCAGGAATGTCAATCGGTAGTTGATGTACTCAACCAATATGAACAGGCATCCGGACAGAAAATTAACTATGAAAAGTCGGAGGTGTCCTTTAGTAAAGGTGTCGAAGCCGATTGAAGAGAAGAGCTGATGGATATTCTTAGCATGAGACAGGTAGATAGACATGAGAAATATCTGGGAATCCCTACACTAGTGGGTCGGTCGAAGAGAGTTGTGTTTAAAGCTATACTTGACAGAGTTTGGAAGAAATTGCAGGGGTGGAAGGAGAAATTCCTCTCAAGAGCGGGAAAGGAGATCCTCCTTAAATCAGTAATTCAGGCAATTCTTGAAAGGAATGGTGTCCTTCCAACAAGTGTATTATTCTGATAGAGGGTTCAGAATTATTACAGAGCTAATTCTTCAGTAAGGTCAAGTGATCAGAATGCCTAGGTGGAGGCCACTTCCGGTCAGTAATGTTAAGGTATAATTAATATTACAGCTTAATCTTAACTGAACCCTTCGGGTCGAACCCAATCGAACAACCGATCCGAGACGACGAATTAATCCGAAGGATTTAATGAGTCATCGGAGTTTTACGAACACAGACGTCGGATATCGAACCTAGGGCGTCGAGGCCGAGCGTCGCAAAATCACAAGCAACAAGTTCGAGCATAGCTGTAGCATCACATTGGCCTAGACATGTGAAGTGCTAGGCTAGGCTAGCTCATCGCAAGCCTAGGCGCACCATGTGCATGCTAGGCGCACCATGGTGTGCTAGGCGAGCCATGAGTTCTAGGCGCACAAGGTAGCCCATCGCAGCAGCATGCCTGCGTATGTGCATGCCTTCGCATGGCACAGCACCGCAACATGCATGCTTGGGTGCCTAGGCACCATCGCAGGCCCCTCGCACAACACTATCGCATGGCTAGGCCAGTGTGTATGTGCGTGTGCGTGTAGGGCATCGCAACAGCAGCACTAGTCTCGCTCAGTGCGTGTGCATGCATGCCATCGCAATATCACTAGCACAGCACCAAGCATCGCATGCTTGTGTGTGTGGCTAGCGAGGCTATGCCCAGCATGCGTGGCTCGCTAGCAGCACGCATGCTGGGAGTGCGAGGGCGTGGGAGTGTGAGTGCCAGGCCAGCGCCAGCAGCTAGCAGCGCCTAGCACTAGCATGCAGCAGCAGCATGAGCATCGCCCAGCACATCACGCATATGCTGGCTGGGGTGATGCGGGGATGCTGGCGTGCTAGCTGGCTGCCAGCCCAGCACCCTTGGTGCCGGTTTTGTGAGGAGGTGGGGACCAACCTTGGGCAAAGCCTTGGGGAGCAAGGCTATGGTCCCCCCCACCAAACCTTGGGCCTCACTCACCCCTCTCTAATTACGCCACTTGTTGCGTTGTGATTGGTTTAATTATTTATTTAATTTTAGAATTAAATAAATTGTTAAATTTACCAACTCTCCCACATTGGTGGGAGATTGGAAATCAAGGGTCCATTTCCCTATGTATTTGGGAAAGAACACACTTGAGTGGAATTGAAAAGGCAACTCTATAATTGAGTAAACCTTGAATTCGTAAAACTCCAAGTTTATAATTTGTCCGGGCCTTGACTAACCTTCGAGGCTTAGGACGATCGGGTCGGGTTCGAGGGTACGATCCCGTTGGAGGCCTCGCATTATCAAGGTTGAAGTAAGAGCTCGATGTAAGAGCGAAGCACGCGTCGAGGGTATAATTCTTATCCTTACTCTTAATTGTGTTTTAATTATGTTTTGCTTGTATTAGTTGCATTAATTATGGGGGCGGGTCTTGGGGGGTTTCATTCCGCGTAGTGAGGGTCACTACGAAACCCTACAGCGGTATCGGAGCCATGCTCCTTTTAATTTTTGCAATTATTCATTAATTAAGGTGTTTTAAAGCAAGATTTAAATTCTGGTTTTGTTTTTCTAATTGGATTAGAAGCTAGTTTTAATTAATTTTAAAACTCGTGTTTTTTCTCGTTTTGGCTGTTGAACCCAGATTTTTGCTCTAAAATAGTGTTTTTTAGGTGAAATCGACATTCTAAAACAGATTCAACTCTTTTTAAGGGCTGTCCAGAAGCCAAATTCGAACCAGAAACCCAAGTTTTTGGGGTTTTTTCGTTTTTCATCGAAAATTTTAAATCTTTTAAAGCCTTGATTAATGCAAGCATTACAAGGTTAGATTAAATGCATTATTGCATCCCTAATCTACTGCTATTTTAAATACTCTTAAGCATAATTATGTAGTTTTAATTAGTGCTTGAGTTGATATGCTATTTGTCACACAAACTTGATCTTTCACAATTATGCAAATAAATTGCATTAATGTGTGAATGTTTGATGTGAATGTGTAATTTCAAGTTCCTAAGAATGTTAAAGATCTAATCTTTAAAAGTTTAAATGATTGGAACTTTAACCCTAAATTCCATGATTGAACAAAGTTTGGATTTTTTCATTTTTGGTTGATTAAAGTCCATGAAGTTCAAATACTTGTGAGTAAAATTTTGATTAATCTTCATATTGGAAGATGTAATCTTGTTATTTTACACAAGTATAAAAGTTGGAAAATTTTATCATTAGATGATTAATTTATTTTTCCAACTCCCATTTGTCAAATCCATTATTAATTTGCGTATTGGTTAAATTAATTATGGACATAGCTCTTTTCAATTTTAAGCATAAAGGAAGACCTTAATTATTTCAAAAGAAATTTTGGATGATT